AAAAAAAAAAAAAAAGAAAAAAGAAAAGAAAGAAAGAAGAAAAGAAAAGCACCAATATTTGTTGCACTTTCAAGTATTTTGAAATATATACCACCCTAAGCTTGAACATTCTCCCAATACTTAAAAAGTAATTTCTAATTAAAGTAACAATAGTAATGGGTGTGAAATTTTCGTATCATTTGTTTCAGCATTTGGAAGCACTATATACCAAGAATGACCAATGCTTGTTAGAAAATCATGGATGGGTAAAACCAAGTGCAAAGCAGACTAATAGATTATAATGTAACAGCATGAAAAGTTAACTGATAGTTTCATTTTTATCAGGGGAGATCTATGTGTTGAGATATAGGGTCTTGCTTAGATACTCTAGCCTTGAACTCAAGATCCTCCTGCCTAACCACCCCCACTTCCTGAGTGTGCCCCACACATGGCTTTAATTGATACAATTTTAAATTCTATATTATAACTAGCCTTTATGAAACTGTTGACTCTGAGTACAATATCAAAGGATATTATTAATAGATATCTGAAAAGACTATTAAATACTATGATCTTTTCAAACCACCTCTCATCAGGTTATTGTTTTCCCCCTTGTAATGCTAGAAATAGAACCCAGGGTCTTGCACACTTGCAAGACAAGCACTATACCAATATGTGAACATCCTTAGCCTGGTTGAGGCTAGTTTTTCTAAATCTTTTTCCTTCTACAGAATATATTATAACAGAAAGTGTAACAGACAGACAAGAGAACTGTTATTTTCTATTACATCAGACATGAAACTAAAAAGTTTGTGAATTCAGTGAACTATATAATCCACTCATTCTCACACATTGAAGAGACAGACAGACAGGAATCTCCAACTGGGACAAACATTTTTGTATCAACACTAACATACAAAGTTAGGACTATACCAAGTTTCTTTATAGTATGCCAATTGAAATTAGTTAAAAATAGTTAAATGTGTCAGGTACCTCTGGCTCATACCTTCAATCCTAGCTATTCAGAAGGCTGAGATCTGAGGATCACAGTTAAAAGCCAGCTGGGGCAGGAAAGTTGTAAGACTCTTATCTCCAATAAACCACTCAAAAAAACCTGAAGTGGCACTGTGGCTCAAGTGGTAGAACTCTAGCCTTGAGGTGAAGAGCTCAAGGACAGTGCCCAGGCCCAGAGTTCAAGCCCCACAACCAATCAACCAATCAACCAACAAACAAAAAACTGGAGGTACAGCTGTGGCTCAAAGTATTAGAGCGCTAGCCTTGATCAAAGTAAGTCAGGGCCACTGCTCAGGTCCTGAGTTCAAAACCCATAACCACCACCACCACCATTAATAACAACAACAACAAAAAACACTTAAATGGGCACTGGTGGCTCATGCCTGTAATCCTAGCTACTCAAGAGGTTGTGATCAGAGACTCACAGTTCAAAGCCAGCCTGGGCAGTTAAGTCCAAGAGACTCTTATGTCCAATTAACCCTCAGAAAATGAGAAGTGGTGCTGTGGCTCAAAATGGTGGAACACTTAGCCTTGATCAAAAAGATCTCAGGTACAATGCCCAGACCCCATGACTGATCCAAAAAATAATTTTCAAAAACACACAAAAAAAATTAGGAAAAACATAAATGACAGCCAGGCTTTGGTGATAACTTACTTCTAAAAGCCAAGATCTGAGGATTAGGTTCAACAAAAGTAGCTCAAGCAGATAACCTGAGAGATTATTATCTCCAATTAATTAGCAAAAAGCTGGAGGCACAGGTGTGGCTCAAGTAGTACCGTACCAGCCTTAGAAGAAAAAGCTAAGCAAGAACTTAAGGTCCTGAGTTTAAGCCCAAGTGGGTGTGCACACACAAAAGGAAGGCACAAAGGCTCAAGTCAGTAAGACTAGCTATTTGAAAGGCAGAGATCAGGAGATAATGACTGAAGGCCAGCCTGGGGGGAGGGGAGGGTAGAAGAGCTCTTGAAACTAGGTTGTGGCTGG